AGAGTGTGGACGAATCAGAGGGCTGATCATTCAGACCCCAGTGAGTGAGAACAAGGACTTCAAATCAAATTTGAAAATCCACTGGGAGCCAGTGTGGAGGCTACAAGACTGGAGTGATGTGAGCGTCGTCACCAGATTTAGTAAGAAGTCTGGCAATAGCTTGCAGACGAGAAACTGATCGTCTGTCCAGACCAATAAAAAGAGCACTGCGGTGGTCCAAATGACACAAAATACAGCATGAATAATGTTCTCTAGATTTGCTCCATGACCAGGTACCTTATCTAATGTGTAGCTATGACATGAGTTAACATACAACACTGCAAAAAAAAGCTCCCAGACAGATTTTTGTCCTATTTTGTCACAGTTGGATGTTTCAGGTTATCATTTTTTTTTTTTTTATGACAGATAGACAACCAATACAGAGCGCAGTTTTCAAACAACAACTTTACTTTCTTACATAAAAGGACAATACAGTGAGGTAAAGATTCAAACCACTCCACTCCTAAACGACACAAATAAAAAGATGTTGGCTTTTAATTTGAAATATTTTATTGTCCCTGGGAGATCCACACACAATAACTCTCACAGAAACAGAGAGAGAGAGAAAAAAAATGTATTGGCCAAGTTAAAAGTCTGCAGTTAAAAAAAAAAATGCAATGCCATTTTGTGGGTTTTAATATGGCGTTCATGCTTGAAAATTCTCCATTGGAACAATTTAGTAGAGCAGAGTTGGCCTAAATTCCTCCACAGTGATGCAAAAGTCTCATTGACAGTTACCATAAATGCTTGATGGCAACAATCAGTTAACAGGGTTGGAGGCAAATTACTCTTAAACGTAGAATTACGTTGGCTTGAATAATTGAAGTCAATATTAAAAATTTGTATGATATTAAAAAAAGAAACCCGTAAGTAAACAAAATGCTGTTTTTTTTTTTTTTTGCAGTATCGTAGGCATCTTCAGAATTTTATTTAGAGGTATCATAGCAAAGGAGGTGGAAGAATATATTTCGAAATGAATGAAACACAAAACGTTTTGTGGTTGCAATGTGACAAAATGAGGAAATGCTCCAGGTTCATGAATACATTTGCAAGTCGCTGTGTCTTCATAAATAGGTGTTTGCACGTGCCTCTGTCTCCTGTAGTTTCCCAGTGGGGTCACAGGTCATGATGGGTACTCGGTGGGCAGTGCTTCGTGGAGCTTGGAGCCACTCAGCTAATGGGACAGCTGGCAGAGCCTCAGAATCCATCAGGCCTCATTATGGCTCCCGTTCAGCCTCTCTTTACTCCCCATCTTCTGTCTCTCTCTCTCTCCATACCCCTCCTCTTTCTTCCCTTCTCTGCCACCCTTCTAGACGCGGCCGACCCTGTTTGGCATGTAGCTGCTCCACTCGCCTCACTGGGACATACATCACACCCTGTGAGCGGGCCGGGCCTCCGCAGCTGGCAGCTCTCTCCCTGATTGACTTGGCACCCACGCTGACTCAGACACCAGGGAAACCACTGGGGAGGAGGAAGAGGAGGTAAAGACGATTGAGGGTGTGTCTCCCTAAAGAAGGTATTTACTAACAGCTGGCATAAGTGGGAGGTATAGAAGTGCGTGTTTCGGTCGGGGGCAGGGGGGGAACTCCCACAAATCATTTCAGCAAGTTTCTTTTGTCTCAATGATCCATACGTACAAACAACTGCAGGCTAATCAGACGAGCCTCCCTTCAGTCCCCCCTCAAGTCTTGACCCACCCCCTGATTTTTTTTTTTTTTTTTGTATCTTTCTTTGCATCACTTCTGCATGCAGCCTTGTCAGCTCCCTCTCCACGAGCAGAGGAGTTTAAAGTTGTGGTTTTGTTGCTCGGTTTGTTTCTTTCTCGCTGGAAGCCACGGGTCATTAGTGTTATTGATGGACACTCAGTACAGTTCCAGAGAACAGGCTGAGCAAGAGCGGTGCGGAGCAGCCATGCACATGGTTTTATTATGACAAACCTAATCAGGACAGGCGTGGTGGCACAACCAATTGGAAGGCCTTCATTTGCTCATGGATTAGCCCAGACTAAAAAAAAAAAAAAAAAAGGGGCTCTGCAGGCTAGCAGCTTCGGTTTATCCATTTATCCAACGTGGGATATTTCTGGAGCAAGCTGAACATAAATAGGCTTTATATGTTCATGTTGATGTTCGTGTGCAGACTGGAGTCCGAGTTTCCTTTGCAAGCTCTTTCCTGCACACGACTCCACCTAGTGGTACAACTACAAAATGTGCCTCACCTCATGTGGCCATCATTTAGAAAATAACCCCAAAACATAAGTGTGATTTTTTTTTTTTTTTTGTCCTCTCTTCTTTTCAAAGGCCTTTAAACATTAAGAGTAAAAATTTCAATCTTAGCAAAACACACATCCAGAGTGTGGGAGAGTTTCTTGATATGGATCTTTGTGGAGCCTTTTACGTTTCACATTTATTTTTTCAGTCAACAACTGCCCTAATGGTGCAAGACGTGTTGAAATGATTCCCCCACCTCCTCCACTCATTTCTTTATCTGCGCAGACAGCTTTGTCAGCGAGAGTTCAAAACACCACGGCCCTCTGGGGGATCCGGTTCAACGCAGAGGGCCAGAAATGATCTCTGGGACGTGAAGCTATGGCAGCGAAGTGATAGAATCTCTTTTGTGAAGAGTGGCGTACGCTTAATTACAGCGAAAAAGTACCCATGATGCGATCTTAGTGTTTACGGGCTATTTCATTGCTGGTTTCCTGCCACCTCCCCCCCTTTTCTCTTTCTCGGCCTCCTGATAAGTACGTATCCATGCAGCAGCTTGGACTTCTTCTTGTTTTTGCCAGAAATCTTTAAAAATTTCATGAAGAGATAATCAGAAGAAAATGTACATTTTTAAAGTTTTAACACCATTCAGGAAAATAAAAATGCTCTCTGAGGCAGCTCCAGAATCAAGATTAAACAACAACAACAAAAAAATGGTCTCAGTCATGAACTATAATTGTAAGCATATTTAAAGTCTGGTATTCAATATCTTCCAAGTCTTACCATAAAAATGTATCCTAGCGTGCCAGCTCCCTCCTCGCCCATCTTCATGCATGGAGGGGCTGATACAGTGGTGCAGTGGCCACCCAGAACACAGTGGATGGATGGCCTCTCTGGGCCTGTTTGACTGGAAACAGGTGTGTGTCATCTGAAGATGAAGGCCCAGCCGATAAACATTATTGGAGAACATCTGCTGCTTGTCACAACACAGGGTGAGCTGCAGCGCTCCAACATCCATCAGCCACACCGGAGACTGGATCCGTGTGTGTGTGTGTGAGGTAAGGGGGCTCGATCCTTCGGTGGTGAGTCCGTTCACCCATCACTCACCCCGGGGATGCTGGATGGATGGTGGAAAAGGGGGAGAAGGCTCGGTCCAGGCGCTTTGCCGGACCGCGTTTGCCTGTGGCCATTAGTCGTGGACATGCTCCAGTGAGCTTGAAAAATGTCACTGGGAAGTGTGCACTTGCTATGTGATGCGCACACACACACACACGCACAGTCAGACACACAAGTTAAGATCAAATCTCAGGTGCACGCACACACACGGATACACACACACAGTGTTATTGTACTCAAAATTCATTGAAATCGGTACGAAGCAAAATGCTATGCTAGAAAACGCACAGTTCCAATGTTTGCAAGAAACAAAAGAAGAAAATATTAACGAAACACATTTCATGATTTTTACGCAATAAAGCACAGCTGATACATGACCCAGATCGGGGACTGAAAGATGTAATTTGTGTTTTAATTATAAGGAAAACGACAACAAAGAAGATAATTGATGAAGAAGCTTAATTAAAGTATATTTTCAATCTTTGTAAAGATAACACTATTGCAGCCTGAACTAAATTGTTTCAATAAAATGACTAATCTAAAATATTTTTTTCCTCACACAATATGTGACATAGGAAAAAAATGACACAGACACAAGGTTTTATTTAAATAATAATATGAATGTGCAAAACATTCTTTGGCTGTGAACATCACTGTGTACACTGACTTCAAAGGCGTGGAGCTGGAAACAAGTTTTATCTTATGGGAAATAAGTCAACTGTCAGGGAGAAAAAACCTTTTTACAGATTGACTAAGAACTTGCTCGTACCGAGACAGACTTTAATTTTCTCACCACCATGTTTCGCCGTGAGCATGGTGTCATGAAATCCATGCAGAGTTCTGCATTCAGCACAAATTTGACTGACTTGACTTATGGCTTGTGCTTCTTGATCTTCATGATTCAACTCCATCACTAGTGTGTGTGTGTGTGTGTGTGTGCGTGTGTGTGTGTGTGTGTGTTTTTTTTTTTTTTTAGCAAACTCCTGAGGCCTTCACAGAACAGCCGTAATAAAACTGGGATTAAATTAAACATAAGTGGCCTCTTCTGATTGATATATCACTATCACTGGATGCACTGGATTTTATTAAAGGGCGCCAGATTAAAGAGGGCTTAAGGCAAATGCATGCCACACACTTTAGATTTTTTTGAAAACCATTCACATTTTTCTTTTACTGTTACTCTGTGTCGAACAATCGTATACAATCGCAACAAAATCCAAAACGTATAAACCAAACTGCAGTCCTCGAGGGCCAGAGCTCTGCAACGTTTAGATGTGTCACTTGTCCTGCACACTTGAATTAAATGTTGAAACTGCCTCACTAGCATGCAGTTAAACTCTACAAAGCTCTGCTAATGAGCTAATATTGGAGCCAGCTGTGCTGAAGAAGAGAGACATTTCAAATTTGCAAGACACCGGCCCGCGAGCACTGGAGTTTACAAAAGTAAGAATACTTTTCTTGATCCTTTGGTGCCTGAAAATATTGTTCTATTGCTTGAGTTCTCCTGTACCTGTACATTTACTTATGAAAAACGTCATGAAGTTGCTCTTATTTTAATGGTTTTAATCAAAAGTATCATATAACGTTGTTGCTACACACTAAAAGTTTGTTTGAAATGCAAGAATGCAATTGAACGATTGCTGAGCTCGTTGTTTTATTGTGAAGTGGGTCATCATTACTGACTCAATATATGTCAAAAAGGATCCAGTTTCATTCGATGTAAGCACCGACTGTTCTGCAGGTATTTGTGTGTGTCGAGCCTGTAAACCAGCTTGAATCAGACCTGAGTTTATGGTCCTCCAAAGACGTTTCGCATGCTGGTACCTGTGGTTGATTGTCTCCGACTCAGTGAAGGAGTGCCAGCCTCTGACAACTGAGTACCAGCTCCATAGATCCAATATAAGTTTCTCAGAGATGATCAGAGCGAAGCTACGCTGAGCCAAGTCCCGACTTTGAGTGTCCAGTCAGGAATTTTCACCCCTGTTTGGGTTATGTGGTTTTGCTGCCTGTTCTTCTATTTCTGTGAGACACAGACATATTCAGCACTCCTGAGGTTTGGTGCAGCCGCGCTGAAAATGGAAGACAGGAGAGGAGGGGGGAAAAAAAATAAAAATGCAAAAAGACATCAGCGCTAGTTGAAAATCAAAAGCAAATGTTCAGGGGTTTCTGCAGAGGAGGTAAATGCTCTGTAGTCTCCCCCGTGCGCTTTGCTGCGAGTAGGTAAAACGGAGACAGCCTAAAGCCCAGCCTCATGCTGAGTGCAGATTAAAATAGCTGTCAAGAGAAAGGAGCGCCTATTGAGGGAGACAGGGTGACATGCAGAGTGATGGCGCTCAGCCTCTCACACTTCAGGACACAGTATTTCACCGAAGCTGGTTCAGCTTTGCAGCCTGCGACCTTATGTCCCGCTTCGCTTTAGCTCCGCCGTTTTACGTCGGTGCAGACGCGAGCGGGCAACGAGGAACTCGAGTTTACCTTTGCTACAAGTCGAGCCGAGCCAGGTGAGCGGACAGAGACATCTGCCGTTTACCCGGTCACAGTGGGAGCCATGGAAACACTGGCACAGCAGGGAGCAGTCGGGGCCAAAGTGGTCTCCATCACAGCCTGACGGGAGAGGCAGAACGGGAGGGAAAGAAACACGAGGAAACGAAGGAATTTGCTGCATTAGATAAAATAACGGGAACGTTAAGAGAGCTAACAAAAAAATATGGATCTGAGATTACAGTACTTTTTTCACATCTCTCTCCCCACTGGCCTGAGGGACAGAGACATCTACCAGTGGATGGGTCACACGACGCCTCGTCAGCACAATTACAGGACTTCAGACAGTTCAGTCCAAAGCTGCCACTTTCACATTCTACAAGTCATAAAAGAAAACACACACACACACAAATAAACCATTATTATTCTGAACATTTTCACATCTTCCTAATAGTTAATAATCTGCCTCTGCAGCATATAATGATTAAATATAACATTATTTTCTAATTTATTGAACATGATACCATGTGAGTATATAATATTGCTTTTTTTTTTACACAACAAACATTTTTTGCATTAGATATTAGACAAGACATACATGCTCTCACACAGGCACATACACATCACCACACAAGTGATAGATTTTTATAAATATTTTTAATCAACCAATAAGTTTGCTTCTCAAGGGAAATGAGAGGTGTATGTCCTCGAAGATAAATATTGGAAAAGCAATGCCAGAAAATGTAAAGAAATAATTACTGAAAAAAATATATATATTTATTGGCATCACAACAATCAAACCCTTCTTATAGTCACAAACCGGCTTTTTGAACATTTCCACTGTCGTTACCGCCCTAATCTTTATCTCTCGCCTCGTCTCATCTATTAGATTCCAGACAAGATTGCCTGCATCTATTCCTCAGCTCCCAGTCACATTTTCTGCTGGTGCTGAAGTGGTTGTGTAGATACTCACACTGCTGCTGAGAGCCCCACAAGCAGGCAGGAGGCCAAGAGGATGTAACAGAAATGCATTAACCATAGGAAAGCACCTCACTCTTACTTGAAAAAAAATCCCCCCAAAAAAAACAACAAAAACAAATTTGTCTCCATAATCACCTAAAAAAGCAAAACCCTTTCCTGTCTTTGTGACAGAAAATATGCACATTTTCCCTGCTTGGTTTTATATTACAATATTTATTCCTTTTATGTACAACGGAAAGTAAAGTTGCACACCCTCTTTAACACAGGTGTCTAGTCCTTGATAGTTGCTATCTTGAATTTTTTTTCAAACATTTTGTTTCATACTTACGCCTTTCGCATCGTGAGCCATAATAGCCTGGTGGGCACAAACATTTGCCCGTCACATGATCACATGCTCGGCCCATGTTACAGTCACATGTGAACTGACAATTCAATCCATAAAATCCAGAAGGACACTCTGGAAAAAAAAATATAAAAAATGATATCAAGTTAAAGTTACAATTTTCAAATTACCTGTTCATTCAGTTATTACCGAAGCGTTCACGAGTCGGCTTAAAATCAGGATTTTGTAAGACTTTGCATACCATGTTGACAGTAGTCGCCGTAGTACCCAGCAGTACAGCTGCAGCTGCCAGTAAAACGGCTGCAAGTCCCATTGTTAAGACATCGGCAGTGTTGTGCACAACCAGGCCCATATTTTCCTGCAGGACAGGCTGAACAAATACACAAAGTTACAACAGACATGTACAATTGTGCACAATGGATGTAAGCAGTTAACACTGTTTTTGACGTAGACAAAAACAGACAGATTGTTAAACTCCTTCTAAATAATTAAGCTAGATCATAATAAATGGAAATCATAGACATCATCGTGTGAATAAATAGGGATTAAACTAAATAAAAGATGTTATTAGTAGCATCCATTTTTTTTTCTACAAAAACGCAATATGTTTTTGTAGGTTTCCCGACCAAAAATCTGGAACAACCACAGAGATTCCGTGAGTTGCAAATAGTAATTTTTTTCATTATACTTTAACTGTTAAAAGCAGTCACCAACACTCAGTGCACACTACTTCGAGCGACGGTGCAATAAAGTAAAACTATGTGGTTGGGTACATCTGATGGCTCAGAATACCTGTCTCACATTGGGGTCCAGTCCAGCCCAGTCCACACTTACAGAACCCGTCAACAGGATCACATGCAGCTCCATTCTGACAGCTACAGGCGTGTCTGCACTGCAGACCGGAGCGTCCTTTCGGACAAGCTTTAGAAATGATAACACAAAGTCACACACTAACTGGCGTGTCCTACTCAAACACACACACACGCACACACACACACACACTTACAACACGGTACTGAAAGTCATCATGTTTATTTAACCAACAGTTCGTTCATTACGGAGATGGCAAACTAGCCTAATTTGGCACTGATATAAAAGAATAATCATGTTTCTTTGGGTAATTTAGTGTCCGGAAAACAATAAGCAAGACATCTTTGATTCCCGTGTTTATTTATTTGCTCGCTTGCCAGATCCAGTGACACGGAACACAGAGAATGAGCTACTTCTACGTTTCTGTAAACATTCAACAAGAGCAACTTAAGAGGTGGCATGTTCAAGTACATGCAGCAGGAGGAGGAGAACATTTAGCCCAAGCAGAACTGGAAACCCCCCGTCTGCAATCCTGCTGAATTGCTGATAAAAGGGGAGATTAAGAAAACGCGGCTCAGCCTCCCGTTTCCCGGGAATAAAAGCCCTGTGATCATGAGAGGCCGTACTCTGAGGAAATGGAGAATTTGTTCCTTCAATATACAGTGAAAAATGTTGAAAACTACACCCTCATTTCGCTGCTTGTTTGTCAGTCTCTGTTGGGTCTCTCGTTTCCAAAGAACTCATTAAAGCCAATGGTTTCAAATGATGCATGTCTGCCTCAGTGGTGAGTCTCTGTTTACTCATGGGAATAGTAAAAGATAAAAAGCAGAAGAAAAGCCTCGGTTGAAATCTGTGACACGGTGTGACTCAAAGTTAAACAACGAGCTGACTCTTACGATTTCAAAGATGGACATTTATTCTTACCGCAAACCTTCGGTAAGCTGCAAATACGCGTGCACCTTGTGGTCTTTGTATTTGAACTAACGTGCCTTTCTACCATGTAGTATAATGTTGATTGATCTCAGAAATAACAGCTTACCCTGTTGGCATGAGGCCCCTGTCCTTCCGGGGCCACATATGCACCTTCCAGTTACTGGATGGCACTGCGCTCCTTCAGCACAGGAGCACAGTTTCGCACAATCCCTCCCGTAGTATCCACCTGGACAACCTGCACAAACAAATGACTTTGTAGGACTTGAACAGAAATTTGAAGCAAATAAGTTGATTTTTGAGGGTTTTTGTTTTTTTCAAACTTACGGGAACTGCAGTCGGCTCCAATGTAGCCCGGACGACAGTAGCATGCCCCAGTCCTAAAGTCGCAGCGCCCGCCGTTGACGCAGGTGCACTTGGACTTGCAGTTTGGCCCAAATGAACCCGCTCGGCACCCTGGAGGCCACACAGGACAACCAGAAAGAGAAAACAACAGTGATTTTATTTATTTTAGAGGTTCTAATGAATTTTATTTATTTTTTATTTTTTCAGATTTTTATTTGTAAAAACACATGCATCACTTCTCTTCCTCTCTATATAACGCATTAACCTGTGTTCAGTCTATCACACAAAATCCCCATAATATACCCTAAGGTGTGTGTTTATGACATGACAAAACGTGATATGGGGGTGTGAACTCTTCTGCAAGTTACTATGCCCACGTTCTTGGCATGTTCCTTACCATCAGTTGCCCAGGCAAACAGAAAACAAAAGCCCATGCTGCGAAATATGTCATGCTGACGTCACATTGCTAACAGCAGACTCACGGAGCTCACAGCGTGGCCCATAGTAGCCGGGTGAGCAGCTGCATCTCCCCGTCGCGGCATCACACTGCTCATGGAGCCCGGAGCATCGGCACAGCTGGCTGCAGTTTTGTCCGAACGTGCCAACAGAGCAGGCTGGGATGACACAACCAAACACATCCAGCATTACAGCCACGTGAACAAAAGGCAAAAAAGCATTTCTTTAACAAGGTCACCAGCAGGATCATAAGGAGAGACAAATATATATATATATATATATATATATATATATATATATATATATACACAGGTGACCTGTTTCAGTTTCTGACACTTTTGTGATCTTAAATCTGCAGGTGAAAATAACTAAAAGCATAAAGCAACGAGTAAAGCGCCGCCGCACTAAATGATCACATTGTCCAGCCCTGCCTGGTTGTGCAGAAAAGACCTTAAGCCGTGCACACATTCAGCACTTTGTGGGAACAAAGACGCGTGCCATTTCCCTTTCCTCTCTTTTAGATAATTCTGTGAAAACAGCGAGGCATTCAGCACTTGACTGGTAACAAACCCAGCACTCCCAGCAACTTTCCCTTGTGCCCGAAACCCGGCCGGACATTCTTTCACACACCCTCGCCGCCTATCTGCATATACACTCATCACAATAATGAATGAAGTCCCCGGACAATCAGTCATAGTGACCAAGATGAATCTGTGAACCAAACGTGTTTTCGGGTGAGACCGCGGCACTCTGCTACTCAGTTAGGCAGCAGCAGCAGAAGGCAGCGAGGGGGACAGATAAGAAAGGACTCCAGACTAAAGAGGCAATTACAGCGCTGTCATTATGCATGTCTGCCTTCCAAAAGCCCTTATCCGCCGCCGAGGAGACAAAAACAATGCCTTCTGTTTTACTTGGCAACCGGTGTGTAACATTTATCAGATGTCGAGGGAGTGTGTGAGGAGAGGAAGGGAGCTGGGGTGGTGAGGTGGTGGTGGTGGGGGGTGGGGGGGGAGGTTAAAGGAGCAGTGAGGCTAGTGAAGCTGTTCGTATACAGCCCTACAGGGTATGGTATAAATAATGAAACGTTCTCATACAGTCCTGTGATAGTGAGGGTCTCACATGGAGGTGGAGTGCATTTCCTAGAATGGAGTAAACTGTAAACTTTCCCAGGAGCCGGAGAAAAGAAGGGGAATTCTAATCAGCGCGCGAAGCGGGCAAGCTGACAGCTGCTCACCTTGCCTCCGAAGATAAATATATTTTGCTGACCCCGATGTTTTTTTTTTTTTTTTTTTGTTCTTACTTTTCTCACATCCAGACCCCGTGAGTCCAGTTGGGCAGCCACAACTCCCCGTCTTGTGGTGACAGGGCACCCCAGGGCGGCACTGACAGCGCCGGGCACAGGAAGGCCCGTAGAACCCAGGAAGGCAGGCTGATAAGTCTGTAGAGGGAAACACAATCATCTCAGGAAAAAAATCCTCTATTCTGCCTGATTCACGCCGCTGCAGTTTCTTCACTCCACCCCCCCCCCCCCCCCCCCC